GGAAGTATTACATTATGAGCATGTTGAATACAAATACTACCTAATCTGTCAGATTCCTTTGAAATTCTAGTCCTGCCAGAAACTTTTGTGATCAATAAAATGACAGTAGAGTTGACTTTTCTTGAATTATAAACAAGCATAGAGGATTAAATAAAAAACAATTTCCCTGTGTAATGATACGTTTATCACAAGGGAAAGGAAATCACTAACAATGTGACTTAAATCTTTGAAATTATTTCATTTCCCATGTATGTAACAAGTACCTGAATTTCTAAAATTCCAGGTTGTACGTTAATAATATATTTTAAAATCCACATATAAAAAGATGAACTAAAAATACACACTGGTTTAGGCTTTGAATCTGGTTACATATACTCTCCTGATTCCCAACATTCTGACTCACCACTCTCAGAATATGAAACCCAGGGAATTCCAGTCAGTATGCAGACAAACTAGCCCCAGGACTGATCAACAGCTAGCACCCAGGTGATATCACATTTTTGTTTTGAATTTCCCATAAGAAAACAATTGCATTGTTGAGGAAGTGTGTCTCATGGTCTAGCTTGAAAAAACAAAAGTCGAAGTACAGTTTAAAAATGACTATTCTAAAAGTGACACTGAACTCATATTTTTGGCAAGTAAAATATCAAAGAGCTTCTTTATTTCTAGATATCCACACTTTTGACAATAAGTCATTCATCAGTCATTTTAATGTTTAAATTTCTTTAAAATGGTTTCTTTACAATTGTGTAGATCTGTTTTCATTACCTAAAGCATCAAATTAAAWAAATATGGTTTATATAATCAATGTGGATGTTGATCAGCAGATATAAGGGCCAAGTGCACTAAGAGGAAGGCCAAATGTCATAAATATATCTTCTAGATTTCAGATCACCTGTTACTTGTGAACTTTCTGCTGTCATAAGACCTAGCCTGGCCCTGCTGAAACCTTTTTATAGTTTCTAAGGGACATCACTAACTATTAGACTTAGACTCCATTCCTCATCCGCTTCCTGACACTTCTATAACTCTTGTGAGATTTCAAATTGCTGGTATTCAATTAATAAAGTCAATTATATTATTTAATGCCACAGAAAACATTTGTGAGATGTGCTGTATGTGCCAAGCTGTGTTTTTTTTTTTTTTTTTTTTTTTGGCTTAAGTTTCTAAGTTACTCCAGCACAAATGAGCAGATCTCAGAAATTTTGCAATTAGAAGTTGCAAAATTGTATTAGAACTAGAGTGCTCAAGGCAAAAAACTTCTGGTATTGGTTGTGGTAAAAATACCATCAATAGCTCCAATTTCAAATCACAGTGAAGGCTTGCTTTTGAAAGCATAAAGGTACTTCTCAATTAATCTTGGTATTTTATCCAGTGACAAGGACTAAACTGTCTTTGAGAGAATAAGAAGCATATGACATCTTACAGTTATATTATGAAGTTATATTTGAGAAACAAAAACAGAAGTTCTGTTGACATCCACATTTGGGGTTTGTAACTCCATGCTAAAAGTGAGGGGCATCTTATGACTTCCTTTTTCTACCTGCTTCAAGGCAATGCCTTTGGAATTTGGAACAGGAGCCTGTTTTGATAGCCTATTTATAAAGAATGCTTCACATTTTGTTTCAAAAATTTCCTGACATGTTTGCTGGATTATGCAGGAATTAAACCCCTTTGAAAGTGTGTGGTAAGGATTTTACAGGCATAAACTTAGCATCACTGATATACTCTACACCAAATAAGCAATTTGCCAAAATCTCTTTCTAGGATTTTGGTTCTAGCAAAGTCCACATATAATTTACCAATTGCAGATGGGGAAAAGGAAGGAAGATCTAGCGAGTTCCATTAATTTAAGAAAAAAAGAGCATTCTTTTAGTTGCGGTTTGCATATAATTGGACAGTTTTTTTAATAACATGTTATAAAATCATATTAAAATAATTTGAATAGACTTGACTAATTCATCTCACCCTTCATCACTCTTAGAACGTATGGCTCCTCACCTCCCAGTATTTTTACTAACAAGGACTATTGCTCTAACATAACAGGTATTGAATAAATGTTTGTTGAAAAAGTGGATTTTAATAAATTCTGAATATCAAGACCAATAATATATATTTGAAAATATATTTAAAAATCTAAAAACCAATTTATTAATCTATAGGAAATAAATCATGATATATTTTTCTGCTTAATGAAAACTAAGCCAGATTTTGCCTAGAAGTCATCTACTAGAGTGTAAAAATTTCAAAGGACGTAACAACAATCTCTTTGCTTCTTGATTAATTTGTGAACAGTGTCACCTGGAGTGTGTAACATATATGATTACACTGTAACATATATGATTGTGAAGATTTTATCACTTGAAGAAATAGTAGTTTCACATTTTATATGTGGCTGGAAAAATTAGAAAAAAATCTAATTTCATCACAAAGGAAAGACCTTCAACAAGTAACTATATAATTCAACCAACCAAAAGACATGAGACAAACGGGTTTTATCAATGTCTTAATGATTGGAGATCAAGGAATGAGAAAAACTTAAGTGAATTTTTCTTTGACTTTCTTCTCCAAAAAGAAATCAAGGATGACAAAGGACATGTGCAAGATGCTCCAAACACTTGACTTTCAAATCAGTTTGACCTGGATTAGAACTGGGAATTAAGCCCCGTTTAAAGGTATAAGACTGAAGCTAAAACAACAGGGTGTGCAGCAGGAAGCTTTGCAATGGAAAGTGAATAAGTAAGAGCTGTGTGTCAAAAACTCTCATTTATTTGGTTAAGTATATTATGGAGTGATACAACAGCTGAAGGTCAGGTGTGTGGTACAAAGATCTTAAGTATCCCAACTGGCTGCATCTGACTTGATACCCACTTCTAAAAGTTTAGAATAACCATAGCACTTTCCTGGTATATGAGCAGTTTTTATTGAACAGAAGGGCTATTATTGGGGAAAAATTTTCAGATGGGAACACTGTGCTCCCTTTCAGCTTTTCTGGGAAAGGAAGTAACAATAAAATGATTACATCATTAGTAGTATTTGCAATTTTGATCTAATATTTTCAAACTACAGTTTTAAAAATTATTCTTTTTTTAGATCATAAAACCATTTCAGATTTTAGGGTTGGAAAATTGAGTACCCAATACTGATTCTTTCCTAAAATCTGCTATTCTCTAGTGTGCGATAAGCTTGTGTTTGGTGTGTGGGCGTGAGAGAAYATAGGAGTTATTGTTTTTTAAAATATGTAACCTGTGTATGTAGTTTGTGGAAAATATTTAGGGGTTGTTTAGGTGTGTGGAAATTCAGAATTGAAGTTGTCATGGTTGGAGGGCTAATTCTTCTTAGTAGGGCAATTACTTTGTACACCAATTGAACAGACAGAAGAAAAAAGCTCTTTCTTGTAGGCATCCTTTGGGAACAAAGCTACAAAACAAAGACCCAGCCAAAAATAAAAAAGCAACCTTTTGCTGGGCACAATGGTACATGCCTATAATCCCAGCAACTAGGGAGGCTGAGTCAGGAGGATAGCCAGTTCAAGGCCAGCATCAGCAATTTAGTGAGACCCTCAGAAATTCTGCAAGGCCCTGCCTCAAACTGAAAAAGAAATAAAAAGAGCTGGGGATAGAGCTCAGTATTAAAGCATCCTGGTTTCAATCCCTAGTACCAAACAAAAACCCCCAAAAACCTTCTTGCAAAAATAAAGCTGAATTAAAGGTAAAATATTCAGAAATTGGATTATCATCCTACCCTTCGATTTTGCCCCAGCCAGAGGTGGCTTTTTCTCACTATCCCATACTCCAGTGTTTTAAGAATAACCTCAGCATGCTTCACATGTAGACACTTCCAGAACTTTTAATGGTCCAGTAAACATGGAACACATACTTCTTTTATGTGTTTGTATGAAGAAACAATAGCCTCTTGTCATTTTCTCTTTGGGCCTGTGCTCTTTAGATTGTACCAGTAGGGGGAAAAAAAATAAAAATCAATCACTAAAAAACTGTAACCTTGAAGATAACTCAGGATATACCACCAAGATTTGAGCAACCCCACCCATCTGATTAACCCTGGCTAATCATTCAAATGGAACCTCCCTGCCTTCATTACTGCTACCTATACTAGAACAAACCCAAAGCTCCTTCAAGGTTAATGATAATGGTTATAAATAGCCCAGTGGTGGGGGTAGGGAAGGGGCAGGAACCAACTGCACTGTGGAAGAGCTGCCAAGTAAACATGGTTTCCCCACATCAAGTTCTCATAGAAAATTTTCCATTTGGAGGACTTTCTCTAGATCAAGCATTTTAAGGAACTGAGTTCTACAATATATTTCTATTCATATTTCTAAATACTCAACTCTAAAAGACATAAAAAAAGTAGTGATGCAATCACTGGATAGCAAGGCATGTCCACATTTCAAATGATATAACAATAGAAGGTCAAAAATATGAAGCAGGTTTATCATAATCATATTGCATTGGGGGGAAAAAAAAGCAGAACACGCTATTTAGTTACCTAAATTGATTTACAGGAAAAGGGTTTCCTAGAAGTCCTCCGATGAACCAAGTGCAGATAATCTGCAGGTGGGGAGTGCATGTTTTATTTCTATCTATTCCCTTGAATAAGAGAATATGAGGTAATCAGAGAGTAGGCAATGCATTCTGAACTGTTCTGCTAAGTGTCCCAGGCAAGTCAAATCAAAATGCTTCAGAAAAGTAAGGCCTAGTTGAGTGTTTGGGTAGAGGCCCCCCTTCGATCAGCTAGTTGCTAAGTGGAAGTCCCACTATACACTTATTCTGTAGAGATGAATGGATCGCGCTGTAGAAAAGGCTGGTTTGCTGAGGCTGTGTCTCTTCCACCTTTACTCAGCCTTCTCTGCATTTACCAAGTTAGGTCCTCAGAGTGGTGAAGGAAAATAAGCCATTTTCCTTCATAAGTATCATTGGAAGTTTCCTCTATATTAATTGTATGAACCTTAGAATACTTACAGATTTTTTTTAACTTAATTTTTTTTTCATTTCAAAGAGTTCTCAGTCCCCACCCCACACGAGGGACCGTGAAGGGGCACTAAAGTGCATTTTTGATGTAGGGGATGGTAGAGTTTAAAGGTGCTGTCCAAGCTAAGAAACAAGATGATGCTGTTTAGAAAAGAAAGGCAATTCCTTCTACCTCCGTCTTAGGAGTCAGCTGAGGGAGGGCAGTGAACTGGACCCTCACCAGAGGATTGTCCTAACTCTGAACGTTAGAGAAAACTGTGTAAGGACCTGCACATATAGACTCATTTATTTGTCCAAAATAGCAAAAATAGGCCTATTTCACCCTTTAGAAAGTATTTGCAAATCTGATGAGTCAGGATCATAAAAACGTGAGTGGATTCCAGATGCAATCCACGTGGGCATGCTCTGTGGCGCTAGCTATGCATCTTCAGCTTGAATGAACATGCTGCTGTTCCTTTTCATCAAAACATGACTTCTGAACTATCATAAATAAAATACACATGAAACAATTAAAATTTTTTTTTCTTACAATAATTACTTTTACATTAAAAAGTCACCATCATCTTCAGATATATCGAAAATTAGGACTCTAAATCTTATTATTTTCCAGTCTTAGTTAACAATCTTGCACAGGCCCGATAATCCAAAACTTGGAGCTCTGTTCTGCACAGCTTGGCAGGTTTCACACAGTTTGACAGGTAGGCAACTGTGAGATATGCATTTTTAAAATTTAGCATTTTTCTATCAAAACAGTCTGAAATCTTAAAATCCCCATAGTGACTGTATTTGTGCAATGCCACAGTCATGTAGCTAGAAAGGAGAAAACAAAATACAGTCTGGAAGATTAATCACAGTCCAAGTTTTCTTGGTCTTCAGTTTAAACAACGATGAGCCCAGGAAATCCAATTAAATACAGTGCCTTAAATAGGAGAAGAGTTGGTCCTGGAATAGAATAATTTAAGCTCTACTAAACAGGGACAGTCTCAACCACGGGAGATTTGATACACTCTTCGTGCAATCTGCTCTTTTCTGCAAGGCTCAAAGAATTTTCAGCAGGATGCTCTGAGAGGTGACTATCACCATTCAAGGTGGGGACAAACCCTTCCTGGGAAGGGCCTTTCAAGTATGAGTGAAATTCCACTTGAGGATGATTAGACCTGTGTTCGGGATATAAGCTATTGCAGGGCACCCCGCTATCATTTTCGGAAGAGGAGCAGCAAACGATGACAGAGGGGTTGGCAGCTGGGTAGTGGGAGGCACTGTAGGCCTCTTCAGCTTGTCGGGCATAGTCAACGAATTGCTCTGGGGTCATGGTGTAAGGCACCAGCGAAAGGGTACCGTTTTTGACAGTATCTCGTTCTGAGTAGTTCTCAGCGATCTGGCTAGCAGTTCCTGGAATGTGGCTATCAATTTGGTAATACAGAGTTGAAGAGTTGGCATAAAAAGAAGCATTTTTTGCGTGGCTTTCGTGAACAGCAGTGCCATCGGAATAACAAAGGACCGAAGGAAGAGGGACCACTTCAGCGTGAGTGCCCAGACCTTCCACGAAGCTGTCTCCTTTATCTTCGTCGTCATCTTCCTCCTCCTCCTCYTCYTCCTCYTCYTCCTCCTCCTCCTCCTCCTCGTCTGACTCGCTAGGCGCCAGGCTTTGGGTGCTGGAATCGGTGACTCCACTGCAAAAGCTGCTCCCATCCTCCTCCTCTTCGTCCTCCTCCGCTTGGCAATCTAATTCCTCCGCAGACTGCAGGTGCAGCACTGCAGCCTGCGGTTCAGTTTCAATCTCAAAATTTTCTGCGATAGAATATTCTACGGAGTGAGCGACGGGGCCCATGGAACTACTGTGAGCACTTATCTCACCGTGGCAGCCGTTCAGCGTGGGGATTTGCTGCTCTCGGTTTTTCTCCAGTTCAAGTTTCATTATTGTGTGCAAAAAGTGAGTCCGGACACGGATAGGATTAAATTCAATTCTACCTGCTGTGTTACTACAACCTTCTTTAGTGCAGCCACACGGGAAAGACATACGATCCACCTTAGAAGGAAGAACACAGATTAGCACCATGGAACTATTACAAGCCAAATAAAAATTTGGTTCCTTCCAGCAACCCCTTTGAATTAAGTAATCCACTTAACTCCACTATGTCAGAGCAAATACTAATAAAACTGCAAATAGATATGAGAAGGGGAAGTGAAGTCTTAAATCATAAGAGTTAAGTAGTTTCTAAACCTAYATTTAAGATAAAAGTAGAAATTTGGTATATGTGGGCATTTTTATTTCTTTGATCTTGTCACCTCTAGTGCCTTCTTTACTTCTTTCTCCATTCCCTACATTTCTTTTCTCTTTATGCCTTTAATTTTGCTCTCATTTTTCAATGCTTCTATTCTTCCTATAATCTCCTTTTTTTTTTTTCTGCTGGATTCCAGGTCACCTACCAATTTTAAACACACAAACTTATAGTACTTCTTCCCACCTGCTATTTTTTTTTTCCATAGTGCTGGGATTAAACCCAGGGCCTTGTGCATGCCAGGCAATTACTCTACCAACTGAGCTATATCCCCAGCCCCCACCRGCTATTTTTAATCTAACCTACATGATGTTCCTCATGCTACCAATATTCTTTTCCCTTTGCTCATTGTGAAATGAACTTCACTCTCAAAGATGACCAGGTTGACACCACTTAGCATCATGCAGTATTATAATTCATTCTCGTCGGTTCAACTTGGTGCATGGGTGAATGTGAGCATACTGCTGAGATGCAGTGGGTATACACACTGGCAAATGGTCTGGTCCTGGTCTCCCCTTTTCTTTCCCATTCCRTCAGACTACAGGTTTTTTGAGGGAAGGGAATGTATGTACATTACATCAGAATCTCAGAATTACTTGAGTGATGGGCTCTAAGGAAAGAGTGATTGCATTAACCAAGGATTTTTTGGACTGACCTCTTTACTCAGGTGGTAAAGTGGAAACCTGGGAAACCCATAGGTACTCCTAAGATATTTGCCAACTGTCTCGGATTCTACAAATTAACCTGTGTGCAAACCAAAGTACAGACAAGAAAAAAGCTTGCTCTGCTTCCCATCTTATCCAAATACAGGGAATATACTATGCTACAGAGGAGATTGCCAACTTAGTGTAGTTATCTCAGTCCCAATGAAAAGCAGTAGCAAATGTCAGTGGCAGAATCTGTAGCCATTTTCTTATGAACCTCTTTTCTGTGGATCCATCCTAAGCTATATTCACTTAAGGGGAACTGTGCTATTTTACTTGCAGGAAGGACTCTCTTTATTGAAAACGCTGTGTCTGCATAAAATAATAGCAAGTAACCATAGACCACCAATGACGTTAGAGATAAATGGGACCTGAGAATTATCTAGTTCAGAGGTTGTAAACCTTTTCTCCCACTTTTAATTAGTTTTAACCTTTAAGTTTTTAGAAGTGTAATCAACTAGGTGAGATTGGTAGGGGATATTTTCCAACACTTATATAAACTTAAATTTTAGACTCTTCTTGGGAGTAAAATAGGCTTTTCACTGATGTATTCCCAAGTTGCAAAAAAAAAAAAATCTCTCTTTAGGTTCCCCCCTATATTCCTCTAACCAATCTTGCAGCATAAGGACACTTGGACACTTTTTGTTGTTGTTGTTTTGCTAAAGAAACCTTAACAGCTGGGAGTAACTGTAATAACTTTTCTTTCCCTACAAAGGGCAGGAGTTTAAATATTTTAGTCTTTCTTGGCCATATGGTCTCTGTGCTACTACTCGGTTCTGCAGCAGAAGCTAGAAATTAGTCATAAATAATAGGGTAAATAAACAAATAAAATGGCAGTGTTCYAATAAAACTATGTTTATGTGATTGGTTGGATTTGGTCTGTGAGTTGATAGTTGGCCAACCTAACATAGTCCAGCCCATTCATTTTAAAGATGAAGAAATAGCACAGAGAGTTAACCTGACTGGACACTTTTCTATAATCGACAAATAGCAAAAACAGTCTATTCATGTTTGCACTAGTCCACACCACCTTTAATCCATCATTCACTTCATACCCCATACATAGATCAGAAAACATTAACTCAAATATTAGGATGCCAATAGTTTCCAGAATGAGCTGGTGGAACCAATGAATCTAAGAGGAAAAACCTCTACCATCTGGGTTACCTTTATATTGTACTTCATATATATATATATATGCACTTTGCAAATGTCCTGGAATTAACATTTCTCATTCCCTGAACTACACATCTTGCCTTTCCACAAATTTTCTTTTCCACGTGCAAGTGCAATACATTATTTGCAACACTACTTCTTTACTGGGTGGTGTATAATGCTTTGTCTTTGGATGTCCTGACATCCACACCCTTACCTGACACTTAATGCCTGCCAAGCTGCAGGTACATGTTTCCGGATCACAGAACACTCTGCAGTCGCAGCCACAGTCCTCCCGTGACAGGCGGATGGCTCGCAGCTCGTGCTTTTCTTCCACATCAATCTTCTTCACTCCAGAGGCTCGCAGCAGTGCTCTTCGTTTTTTTGTTGGCAGGGGTTGTAGAAAGAAGTACTCGTCTACTTCTGTGTTGTCCAAATCAATATCATCATCGGAAATGTCATCCACTGTAAGAGTGCTAGCTTCCTCAGATTCTACTGTGCCATTCTTAGTCATCTAGAAACACAGGGAAGTACATAAGAGATGGAGTTCAAGCAGGGTCCAAAGTTCCCACCTCAGCACTTGGGGAGAGCGAGCAATCACTAAGTGTGTGTGAGTTCAACCGTTTGCTTTTATTTTTCTCATTAGGAGAAGTCACAAAAAGGAAAACCGAGGCATGGAAATTGTGTACTTTTAAAAATGTACTGGTTACAAAAGATGGCCAATTGGAACTCTCAGTCTCCTATAGTCAGTAGTTACTGTTACATCCTGAACCAGAATGATAAGAAAAAGACCAGAGGTTCTAGATGCTGTCTTTAGATTCAGTTCAAAATGGGTAGCTCTGATGTTGGAGAAAGAATGTCCTGGTTCAGAAGTGAAAGCATCTTAGTGGAAGCCATCACGAACCAAGTCAGTAAATATCTTGTCCTTGAGATAATCACCCTGACTTTGGGATTTCAGCAAAACCATGCACTCAGGAAATAAAGTTGTGCTGTGCTATGCTATTGGGATTATAAACATGATTACGCTACAGAACATTCCAAGGWATTGATATGAAGCAATCAGTCAGGTCAGTATGCTCTCAGAGAACAGTGCTGGTGCATGCTCATCAACTGACAACTAAAATGACAAACCAGGTTCCCAAAGGAGTTTGCCCAAAGCCATACCTTCTGCCTAACAGCTCATGTGGACGGCCATGCCTCACATACCCAGGAGTTGTTCTGCTGCTATTTATATTTCTTTTCTAAATTAATCTCATCCATCAGTAAGCCCTGAATCAGTATTTCATTTCTGAGTATTACACCACAACATATTGTTTCCTTCATAAAAAAGGATTTAGAAAGAAAAGTTTTCTCTGAATATGATCAAGATATTTATTCTTAGGAGCAGTGCAAGAAAAAAAATGTAGAAAATCCATAAGAGATAAAGCATGGGATAACTAAATAAAGAAGCTATTTGGATTATTTAATTTTTAAATTTATTACTTTCTAAATTTCATTCATTGTAACTATTACCTTGCTTAGTAATCTTCACAGTTCATCCATTAAACAGTTAAAATACCCTGGTGACATTAGACACCATTCTCATCCTCAAAAGAAAATGTCCAATATTTAGACAAGAATATTTATTACTGTAAAAACCCCCCAGGATGGACAACTGTGAATGTATTAAAGAACAAACAGAATATTGGACTTTGCCTTCAGGTGGAGAAATTTTCACCAAAGAATCACCAAAGTGCATATTTCAATATATTACAAAGGGTCCCTGAGATGTATTTGCAAAAACTACTAAATTACTTAAATCTATGATCTTACCAAGATGAGCATTCCCYTTTACCAGGCTATGTTGTTAGTATGATCTTCAGTTCATTTCTTCCGTTGGCATTGTGTATTGGTTAAACTATGACATCCATTACTAAGATGTTACTTRGATTGGTGGTGGTTATCACTTTTGTTAATTCTTACTAACAAGTTGCACATTTCTATGTGAAAGATCTAATTTTCTAAGAAATTCAAGTGTATAATTGCCTCACATGTCCAATCTTCTGTGACAGGCAAAGCTGCATGAACAAGTAGGGAGTATTCCCTTTCCCATCTTGTCACTCTGTGGCAATAGATTTATTTTAATTAATTCTTGGCTTGCTTATGTGAACCTCAGCAAGCTTCTCAGTTCATGGCACATGTAGACACTCAGCACTTGGCTAGCACGACTCATTTCAATCCTTCCTCCCCACTTCATCTTCGTGTTCTATAATATTTAGGCTTTCTTGTGCAATTGGTAATATTATAAAACCAATGAAATCTCCAACTTATAACAATGGGTTTGGATGTACAAAATAACAATGGTTGTTATCAGACAACACATGAAATCTAAAAATCAAGAAAAAGTAAGAATTTTGTCAATATGTAAAAATATATAAAAATTTAAGGCAACATAAACCATGAATTGGCATCTCAGAACTAAGAAACAAACAAATGTATCTCAAATTTAACTACAGATACAGTTTACTCCAAATATAAATGTCTTTAGAAATAAAAATCTGCATCTCTTATTTACAAGTTCTAGAATTATTCACTTATTATAATTTCATTTTAAAATAAAGATTCAAGTAAGAATCTAAAAGTCCTTCACATACAGCTATATACTATTTTCACTCTTGTTAAATAACCTTGAGGGATTTAAACCTAGATTTTTTAAATCTCATGTTAATGTTGATGTGTTCTGGCAAGGTTTTCTCCTCACCTCTTCAGCATCATTTCTTTTTTATTTTATTTTATTTTATTTTTTTAAAGAGAGAGAGAGAGAGGAGAGAGAGAGAGAGAGAATTTTATTTATTTTTTAGTTCTTGGCGGACACAACATCTTTGTTGGTATGTGGTGCTGAGGATCGAACCCCGGTCGCACGCATGCCAGGCGAGCGCGCTACCGCTGAGCCACATCCCCAGCCCTTCAGCATCATTTCTAATGAAGACTGGGAATATTCTACCTCAGTCTGGTCAATTGACTTGTCTTCCTCTTCTTATGGTTCCTGGTTAGTGTTGCTTCTGAGACATTCCCTACTATGACCTTGCATAGACCGACTGTGCCTGCTGGTTTCATTAAAATCCAGGACTAGACTATTGAGTTTAAATGTTCTTCAGTATTGGAGTACTAAAATAGTATTTCCAAATGTATCTTCCYATATGGGAGCAATAGRAAAAAAAATCAAAGAGCTCCCTATTCTTGTCTACCAACTCACATTTGTTATTCTCTAAAGATCTGGTGTAAAGGAATCCAGGAAGTCTTCCAGGATTGACTCATCTACTCATGCCAGCCTCTTTATCCATGTCTATCGTCATGCATAAGAACATTCATGTTGTACAACATTGGTTCTCCCCTGACATGAATGCTACCTTTAAATGTTTTTTTCCCATCTCAAAATAGAATTATTAAAATTTCAGATTTTAATTCATGAAAAGCAGCCTCCTTATTTTATGCATTAATGAAGCTTACTCAGAGTCATTTTGATCCCTCCAGGATGTACTTATAGGACATAATTCCCTGTTTCCTATTTTAATATGCTTCTCCCTACATGTCATAAATTATAAGTTTCTTATAATTTCTAACACAATGCTGGGAGTCTAACATGGAGTCAAACACAATGTATCTAAAAAGATATTTTATTTATAAAATAACATACCCTGTAACCTGCATTTTCAAATGCATGCCTACTTTTGAGGTAGAAATCTTCAATCTAGGACTTGGACCATTTCTCACTTTGTGTTCTTTCTCCAGAAATAAGGTTGCCTCCCAGTAGCTCAAAAAAAAATTTACTATTAAAAAATGTGGTTTAGGAACACTATCAAATAATATTTATGGCCTTTAAATTTGCTCTTGTCTTCATATATATGCATATGAAAGAGAGAAACTGGAGGTAGAGATGAAAGAGGTGGCAGAAAAAGGTATGGCATATAATAATATTAATACCAGTTTTAATTTTGTGTGCAAGAAACTGTTCCAAACACTTAACCTGATTAGCTCGTATAGCAACACAAAAATCTTATGTGATATATACTATCATTATATCCATGTAACTGATGAGGAAATCAAGGTACAGGAATGCTAAACATGCCCAACATCACAAATAGATAGAGTATACATTAAAGTCATGATCTGACTTTACAGCTTGTGCTCCCTAACAGCATTGAGGTATATATATATATATATATATATATATATATATATATATATATACACATATATATATTATATATTTATATATATAATATGTATATAATATATATATAATATTCTTTTATATAATTAATATTTATTGAGTAGTTAAATAGTAGTTAGTGATTATTTTGTATGAGCCACTAGGTATAGGTATATATGACAAAGACCTTAATCTCAACRGAATGGAATAATGAGTCAAGGAATCTGGCAATTTCAACCCAGCTTGAAAGGATTTCCTAGCTTAGGGTGAATACAGCATTTGAGGAGCACCTACAGGTAGGGCTGGCAGTGGAGTGAAAAGGGAAAACTTCCAGATGAAGCTTAAATCTGAAGGTGGATGGGCAGTCAGAAACGAACAGTGGAGACAGAAGGCCTCACTCCCCCAGCAACAAGGAGGCCTGCTCTGGGAMAGAACATGATGGATTCTTTGACCTACAGAACATACAGATGATTGGACTTTGGTGGAATCACTTTCCATAAAGAAAGAACTAGAGAGAAAGAAATAGCAATTCTTCAGAGTAGCTCCTGTTTATCTGACTTAGCCAATGAAAGGTGGTAAGTGATAACCTGACTCATGATTTGATCTAATGATCTTTATCTCATCTTATATTTTTCCTGTATGTGTATATATTTATCTATATTGTACTGTGAGGATCTTAAGAGGTATGTGTGTGTGTGTGTGTGTGTGTGTGTCCGTCCTTGATCCAATGACAACACTGAAGATGGCAATTGTTTCTTGGGCTACTGGGTAAAATTGTCTGGACTCCCTCCACATATTAAAATATAACTTGTTTTAGACAGAATCCTAACATCTTACTTTTGCAAAATTGTACCCACTGATAAGCATGAGAAAGTAATTTCTGAAAACACAGTTTTGCCCACGTATACACACCTGAGGAATAGGATGTATTACTGTAAGAATCAGTGGAATGACTCCAAGACTATCAAATAACCAATTCAATGCAAAATGGGTAACAATACTGAAAATGTAGATTGACTAAAATGCTAAAAAAAGAAACAAAGCAAAACACAAAAATAGATCCAGTTCCTTTCATCAGTGAAGTTGTATATTTAGTAGTAAAGTCTCCTGTTTCTTAAAAAAATATATGAGCACGTRTAAAAATGAGAGTGGATATAAGAATGTGCAAATGAATTCAGTTCCACAAACACTGATTACTCCCTATTGTAACAAAGATGATGATGCTGAGGAAGACCTGAGCCACCATATATTGAATACCAGGTGCTGAGTGTCATACTTTGTTCAAATTATCTCACCGAATTTGTACAATGATCTTATGAATT